TTGCGCTTTTCAAATGACCCTTATTTTAAGATACGTTTGAAATGTCCCTTAAAACGGCTTTGGGCGGTTATGTGCGGGGTGAATCAGGACCGAACTCTGCTGAACATAGCTCAATTCATGAATTTCGCTATGTTCGGTTAGGATCTTGCTCATGATGCCGTCTTGACCCCCCGTCTTGCTCATAGATGCGTAGGCATGACTGACCATGAGTGCGGGAGAGAAATACCCTAATTCCTGATTCCCTAATTTTGTAAATGTCTAAAACTATGTAAACATTCTTGTTTCCTGGAAAACAGGAATTCTGGTGCAGGAACATGGAGCATGCACAGCTGCATGGTGAAATCAGATTGCAGTTCATGCATCAGACGCTTCGCTGATTAAGCAGCTGGCTCTCGAAGAATTGCTTGTGCCATGCACGGTTCGTGGCACGACATTTTCGGCATGCACGAGCTAGCTCAACCATGGCGGTCAATGCAGATATCATATACATGTTGTCATATTGTCATGTTTTCTGCGTTCGACCCTTCTTGATGGTGCTCGGTCCGTGATCGGTGCTGAATCATGATTCGTGGGCAGGACCGAACGATCTAGTCAATTTAGTGCAAGATATAGCTAATTAGTGTCAACCTCAAAAAAACCAGACAAACGTGCAGGACCTTTTCCTCGACAAGTTCGGCGGCCCTGCAATCTTGACTCGCGGGAGGACTGTGAGATGACAGTGTTGAGTATCGGGACACACGAAATCGCTCGGCTATCAAACCATTTCCTCTTGAGGACCAGCGGTGGTGGTGCTGACAACTTGTTGCCAGGACTGGTCTGATTGCAAAGATTCTGCTGTTGTGCAGTTGAAGATGTGGCCGTATTGTAACAGAGACCGGGCTCTATAGCTTTTGAGGGCATCGACTTTTCCTTGCATCCAGGATGCCAAGACGGGCGCACTACAAGCCCAAGATCTGCATGGTCACACGTGATGATGATGAATCAGGTGCCAGTCGATTTCGGCAGTTGTGCGCAGGCTGTTGCTGCAGCTCATGAGTGATTTGCTTTGCTTGCAGTGTGCAGCTGTGTGCAGAAGCTTGAAGTGAGCTGATGCTTCAGTTTTTTCTTCGAGCTCAGCATGTCCTCTTTAAAAGGTTGCAAGGTTGCTGTCAGGTACTGTCTAGTGCAGATTCAATTCTAGCAGGGTTCTCGTGGTCCGGCAGTGCTAACTTCCAGTACAGAGGAGCTCCTTTTTTGTGTGAGTGATCATATGCCAGCCATGGCTGCTGTCATTCCAGAAAAGGTTCATTTTGAACCAGGAGATGAGGCTCTGCGTGTGTCGAAGGAGCTGAGCAGAGAGCCGTCATTGAAGGCTGTTGCTTTGAGAAATCGATCGTTTGAATAGTTCCGAGAGTTTGTGATGCTCATGATGTTTCCGAGGGTTTGTGATGCTCATGCTGCAATCTCAGGCTGGCCTGAATTTGGTTGTCGATCCCACGGGTAAGCTGCTGAACCGGAGGAAGGTGGTCAGCCGCAAAGATGTCATCGCCAACCCGCGAGTGCCCCCTCTGCATACATATTAGCTCTGCAAAGAAACAAGCCTCAAAGATTGCACAAGTATACGAGGTCATTGCTGCAGCGATCAGAGGAAAATTGCGGTCGCGAAAGCGACAGAGCGCTTACATATACTCCGATGCCATCCTTCATTTCATGAACAATGAGAAGCTCCTGCCCAGGGGGGTGCTGATATCGGCACCAAGTGTGCAAGATTGGGCTATGAAGACGGGTCATGCTGTCCGCAAGCTTGTAGCTTGTCTGAGTGTAGACATGCCAGTATCTGATTTGGAGGTTGAGATTAGATTGGTTTCTGGTTCAAGCTGAGGTGACCAAATTCATGCACCTCGCTCGCCGTGCCCGGTCATCGCACCAAGCCCAGCTCCGGGAGCTCAAGAATGAGTTAGCTGGGCTTCTTCAGGAAGTTGAATCTTGGCATTTGGGTTGAAGTTTTCATTCTGACCAGTGCATGAGAGGCTGAGTCATGCATGTTTGCAGTTTCAGCGTGCAAGGATTCGGAGTCGGAGGATGAGGACCAGACTGATGATGATAGCGAGGCTCTGAACAGCTTGGCTGGCCATGATACGGCTTCGGTTGCTCTTGGATGGCATTTTCGGTTGTGAGATTTCCTTGCCATTGCCAGCTTCCAGACCAGCTAGATGCATGATAAGGTTGCAAGCTCCTGCAGCTCTACTGTCACCCCGCCTTTGAACATTCCGGCGCTGAGTGGTGATATGCAGAACCTTCGATTCAATGTGTCTTGATTTGTCGGTCATCCCTGCATTCAAGCCACATGCTCTTCTATCCGTTATCATGTGTCTGAGGAGGGTCCTGGCCAAGCTGCAGGCAGCAACCAAAAAGGAGAAAGCGGATCAGGCTTCAGAACCTAGTGATGGGGCTCCGGAAGCCAAGAAGAAGCCTAAGAAGGCCAAGGGTGAGATTGAGGACAAGCTGCTTCCTGAGAAGGTTTCTTGTCCGAACCATACGAATCTAGCTAATGCCGAGTTCCCGCTCAGTACACTAGTGCATGCAGGTTATGGACAATCTTCGCGAGTTGATCTCTGCGGATCCAGCAGAGCCGTTCCTGCCGAGTAAGCAGCTTCCAAGTTGCATATTAGACGGTGTTGCAGCTCTGCATATGCTGTGTTTATGTCTGCATTTTGGAGGAGGAGGGGGCAAACAATGTTGATTTCAATTGAGGTGGGCCCATGAGGATGAGACTGGAGATGCAGTTGATGACGGTGAGCCTGAACAGAGCAGCAAGAAGAACAAGAAGAAAACAACAAAAAAAACTTTGCAGTGCCAAAACAAAAAGGAGATCAAGAAATCGAACGAAAAGAATGGGAAGGAGAACCGGGTCTCCGAGACTGGGGATGCAGAGGAGCCCTTCGCGATCACCCGAATGAAGAAGAACATGGCGGCCGATTGTGCATACATCCCTGGATCTTACAAGGATGCCAGACTTAAGTATATTAAGAGAAAGCGAGACAAGGGATGGTCCTGGAAGGAAGCATGCCAGAAGTGGAATGCCAGTGCCATTCGAGCTTCGTGGCTCGAGGGCTTGTCTACGAATGAACTTAAGAGACGCCGGTTCATCTAGATGTCATGGTTTCAGTGTTTCAAAACGTGCATTTCAAATTCAGAACTGGTCGCTACAATTCGATGACTGAGACCAGCTGCAAGCAATTGGTGCATGTCGTGAAATGAGAGAGATCTGGAGAGTTATATGTGGGTGTGCATGTGGGTGTACGTGAGCACATATGTGTCTCTGCATGTGTGCGCATGTGCTTGTGCAGAGCAGCTCTTCCTGCCTAGATTTCGGCACCAGGCCGAGGCCTGCTTTGAATCCTTGTTCGAAGGTATACTTTTGTACGCAGGGCTAGTTGGCTATGATGTTTAAGCTGCCACCGGTCTACTTTCAATTATTCAGGTAGATTCCTTAAGTCTAGTGGCTAATGTGCACTATATAGGGTTTAGGGTTTAGGGTTTAATTGGGGTAGATGATCCAGGGCTTGTGGCCATGGTAGTGGCAGAACTCTTGCGATGGGGTGCTCCGCTACAACTAGTTTTGTGCCTGGTGCTCCTGGCCTTTCATGAAAAGGCCCCGCAATCTGAGGACCGTGTGCTGCAACTCTCGTTCATGTTGCAAAATTCATTGGATGGTGTTTAAAGATAGAACATGATGTGCACGCCGACGCAGGACCTCGACTTCTTGCACCTTTTTTCAGGCTGCGATTCGGTCGGCCGCAGCTTTCGAAAAGCACCTGGGATTGTGGTGCAGTCCCCTCAAACCAATATAATCCGAAGTCCTCCAAACCTAATCAGCCCTGAAAGCCCCAAACCCTAGATTCTTCGCCTAGGTTCTCTGACATGTCTGTCCACAAATTAACTAGGCCGATCCCGAAAAAGACCTTATATCGTCATCAGGATCTGGGGCTGGTTGGAACATCCATCGACATTGAAATCGATCCCCTCGGCCATGACCTGATGACTACATCCGGTTTTCTGTGACCAGACTGCAATACAGGAATTCCACCGAATCGATGATGTGTTGTGTTCAGGGCCTCTGCTAGCTCTTGCATGAAGACTGTAAGGATGGCTCTGAATGAAGCCCGTCGCCTCAAGATGGATACTGGTGTGGTCGTTGTGGGCCTGCCGTGTGCATCTTTTTCAGTGATGTTGCTAGGGTGCACTTATTTAGAAGTCCGTCGGACCAGTGTGCCTGTGTGTCCTGGGTTTGCCACAACATCTGTGTTCTCCACTTAACTAAGGTCAAGAAACACCTCCGGGAGAAATCCGATCAAGCCGTTGGGCAACCGGGGATATGGCTTTGTTCACTCAGGGAATGTGTTACTGGCGCGGGTGGTGATGATTATCCTTGTCGTCTGTTCACGGAATGGTCTTTGGATACTGGAACAGCCATCGCAATCCTGTCTTGTAGACCACCCGGCGATACAATGGTTGCTGGAACGAGCCCCTGCTACTAGGCTTGAAGTTTGCTAGCTAGCTGAGAATTACGAATGTTCCTGTAAATCTGAAAAACATATATACCCGAAATGACTCTGCGAGGTCTTCAAGGGCTTCTTCTACATGCTTCGGTTTGGTGCCTCCTCGCTGAAAAGGCACATGCTGCTCTCCAACTGGGAAAGCTTGGTGACAACCTTGGAAAGCACGGCAGGGTATGTCAGTGTGGCCGAGAGACAAACCTGTACCAAAGCAAAACTAGCCATACACTCCCAGAACAGAAGTGGTAAAGTGAAGAAGAAGTTCAGTGGGCTGGCCAAGCAGCTGAAACTATCCCAGTTCCTAGGCTGCCTTTAATAAGGACTCAAGAAGTATAAAAGCCGAGCCAAAGAATAGCATAGATACATGCATGTACGCCTGATCCATCCGAGGAACTACCCGGACAAGTTTGCGAGGGCGATTTCTTGCCACTTCAGAATGAATGGCAGTGCTTCGAAGCTGCAAACTGTGATTATGTTTGCAACCTGAAATTTCTCTCCGACTCGCTCGATCCCTAAGGCTTCTGCGCCTGGCCCTCGCTGCATCGACATGATTGACTTTGCTAAGTCGGACTACGAGCTGTTCGAAGAACGGCTGTCTGCTGGAGCATGGGATTGTCCTATGAGCTTTGATGCCTCCAGGCTCAAGGATATTGTTTGTGACTGTTTGTGATGCATTGACGGCTGTTTGCTCTAGCTGATGCCAGGCTGGACTTTCCGAGTGCTGCCGATACCTCCTCCGGTCCAAGGACGTCGAGTTCAAGGGTCGGTGGGAGCCTGGGCCTGCACATACGTGGGTTCAGTTTACAGAGCAAACTCGAATTATGCTCGATACGACAGCACTTTGGGGTCGAGGATTTTGCATTAGCTCTGCATCTCTGCTTTTTCAATAGCTGATGCGTGCCATGGAGCCTTCCTGCAAGTATCTGGTTCGGAAGCCAAAAGCAGTGGCGGCGGCGCAGCAGCAGCAGCAGCAGCCCACCGGGTCCTTAGGGGGCAGTGCAGAGCCGGACGGTGCCGAGCCACAGAAGTCGACGGACCATGGCAACCCGCAGGAGTCAGCAGAGCATGGCAATCCGCAGGAGTCGAACCCAAAGCCGATGAAGGAGGAGGTGAAGGTCAAGGTGGAGCCGAGTGACCGTGAGAGATCTCGTTCACCTCGCTTGGGTCGCCAGGGCTCCGACGCCACCACTTTGGTCCTGGGCTCCAGTGCATGCTACTGCAGTTCATCCTCCGAAGAGAATCAGTAGATTTCGATCGTTCGCAGCCGCAGGCCGACCAAAAGATGTGCTGCATGCTGGGTTTGAGGATTTTATCGGGTTCTCTGGACCGGGCTTTGCATGTCTTTGGGGGCTCGAGCTGCTTTCCTTATTGTGCAGCTGCACGCATCCAACATGCCAGCATTGCCAAGTCTCGACAAACCCGGAACCCCGACAAACCCGGAACCCGAAACCCCAAACCCTCAAAGTATCGACCAAGCCGCAGCCCAGGAATCTCTGCGTGGTCAACTCATGTGCCTCGGCTAGCACTCGAGACTGAGACCAAGACCAAGTGAGGGAGGAAGGGGAGGGAGTCCAGGGACGGAGGCCGAGAGCAAGGGGCCGGGAGGGGCGGAGGGAACCCTGCACCCTAAACTTCCTTATAAACCCTATAATAAACCCTGAACCCTAAACCCTAAAGCGGCTCCGGAAAAGAAACCCTAAACCCTAAACCGTTCTCTCTGTCTCTGTCTCTCGCTCTTCTCTCTCTCTTCTCTTGTCTCTGTCTGTGCGCAGATCCTCGAGAAAGCGAGAAGCACCCCGTGCGACACACACCAAAACTGCAGAAGCACAGAAAAGCACAAAGAAGCACACACAAAACACAGGAACGCCGAGGGAAATGAAGCAAAGCCACACAGACAAGCACAGAAAAGCACAAAGAAGCACACACAAGCACAAACAAGCACAAACAAGCACAAACAAGCACAAAGAAGCACAAAGAAGCACACACAAGCACACACAAGCGTGCATGGACACATGCACACACGCACAATGCAGTTATGCCCCACGATCTGCATCTCAGGCTTCTGTGCAATGATGGCTCCCGAACACAGCCTTCGGCGTCTGCCGCTAGCTCGCATATATGTGCATGGAGCATGCATGTTCTACTGCAGATCGAGCCCCGTTAATGCTTGCCCAAGGAGATCATGGCTGGCATTGGCCCACTGGCTGCCGGTGTCCTTAATTCATGAGCTGGTGATTGAACTTGTGTGCAATTTCACACAAGGCATCGTTGAAGATTGATTTGCCTCTATAATGAACAGTATATTGCCGCAATGAGTGTCAAAGCTGCTTTCAACTGCTATGGGGCACTTCATGCACGAGCAGTTTTCGTGATTCTGCACGAAAAATTCCGCGTGCAAAATGTTACAATGACCGTTAAAACCATGCCACTTGACCGTTAAATCGCGTGAACTTTGTGCTTTTCTGAAATCCATAAAATCGAACAGCTGCCAAAGCCATCTCAGCTCTATAGAGGGCTGTCAAGGGCTGGGGTGTAGGGCCTAGGGTGCTGGGACCATGGGTGGCTACAAGTCAACTAAAGAGGCCCTGGAACGTGGTGTGAAGTTCAAGAAAGTCTTGAAAGAGCAGAAGGGTGCATCGAAACCCAGCAAGTGGAAGCCTCCTACAATCCCACTTTCAACTCCTGTGGGTGTGGGAGGCATGACGTTAGAGTCGCTGATGAAGCAGGAGAAGCTGGATTATGCTGATGCAGTATGTGTTTACCTAGCTTACCAGGACTCTCTGAAGTCGTCCGGCCGAACCAAGAAACCAGCTGCCCCGGACACCGAGAAGCTCGAGGACACCCAATCGGCAGGCAATTCGGTCCCTTCCGAAACAGGCAAGAAGAAATCCCCAAAGAATGCCCCCACGGAGACCGAGGACGTTCAGTCGGCATGCAATTCGATCTCTTCCGGAACAGGCAAAAAGAAATCCCCAAAGAATGCCCCCATGGAGACCGAGACCGAGGAAGCCCCGAAGAAATCCCGCAATCAAGTCTCCGCGAAGTCCAGGCCGAGCAAAGCATCTTTGAAGCGAGGAGTTGCATCATCCAACCTCGGATTGGATCAGGACCCAGAGGGTGCTGTGGTGCGGCCGACCAAGCGTCTGAAAGGCAAGACCCCTCCCGAAACAATCCCGAACCCTCAAGACGACACCCTCTGTGACGATGAAGAGGATGCTGAGTGCTGGGATGACGAGCTTAGCTATGAGTATGAGTTGTGGAGGCATGGGCTTCCTCAGCTTAGTGAGCTGGAGTCGGATTTGAAGGCCCACAGGGCTGCCCCGACCGTGCCAGTGCCGGGTGTGCTGGTTCCTGCAGAATCTGAAGACCAGTGTGGCTCCAACGACAGCCAAGTGTGCTTTGATTGCATCTGTGTGAGAGCATTCATGATGTGTCTCGCATAACTTGGCTTCTACTTTATGTGATCGGCATACAACAATCCATCTGAGGTCTGGCAGCACATTCGTGGATGCTCAGGCCAGGTTGCGATCTTCGCAGCCGCTCAGCCGTGCAGATCGCCAGGATTCTCAGACGAATCTGAGTGATCTGGGGCCTTCCGCGAGCCAGGTTGCTTCTGCATTGGACATGCATGCACTTTTGGAGCGAGTGAAACAATTGGAGCTTGAGAAGGCAGAGCTCCAAACCCAGATCAGCACTGGTTCCACTACGAGCCCCACCCCGTCTGCAGTTGCGGAACCCGAAAAACACCAAGCACCCGATGCCGAATCTGCAAGGCCTGTGGCTACGCCTACAAGGAACAAGGAGCATGTGTTTCATGAGGCGCCGGATCCGGCGACTTCCCCGGGAGGTGGACTTCCGGCCTCCGTGTACGCCAACATCAGGACCCAGGCGGACCCAGTTCCCATGCCGGCCGGTGTGCCCCCGTCGGGGCCTGCAGTGCAAAACGAGCAGCATGGGAAAATCAACTCCGCAAACTACCGAAAGGAATACATGAAGTTGGCCGCTAGGCTTTGCTGATCCCGCTAATGCATGTTCCGCTACACATTATCACAATAAAACTAACCGGATGGGAACCCTGTGCTCAACTAAGAACCGACTTTATGATTCTGGCGAGTTGGCTTCCTACCCGAACATGCAGAAGTTGCAGGAAGGCACGCTGGATGTGGCTCGGGTGCATGTTATAAACAGTTAACACTCGCTGAGGGGTGATTCTAAACTTGATTTTGCTGTCATGGGCTGACGACACTTCTGTGCCTGAAATCAAGCACCACCTTAACTTGATGTCACTACACTTGGCTGCTTTCCTAATTTTCCTATATGTCCAGCTACAATTAAACTTTTAGCTAATAGTTCGTGGAATCTACTTAAGTATGATGCTATCGAACCCACTTTCCCCTCCGGCACAAATCCAGTTTTTAGGCTGTGCGTGTTCCAAGAGACAGAGGGAGCCCGAGAGAGGAAGAGAGAGTGAGAGAGAGATCCGTGATCGAACCAGATGATCTGTGGCTGTGCTGAGGAGAAGCGCAAGCTTCTTCGTGAGTGGGTCATCTCGGGCCAGAACCTGCAGGCCTGTGAGAGTGCCATCGAGGTCTCCCACGAAGCAGGCGTGCGGGCCGAGAAAGTGTGGGCGCAGATCGCTGTGAAAAACATGGCGAAGAAACCCTACTTCTTCAGCGAGTACTTCAGCAGCACTTAAAGCTTTATCAGTTGTTCATGCAGAGCTTTCTTGATTCATTATGGCTCGGCTGCAGCCTAGGCAAAAGATACAACATATCATAACGACCCAAGTGGGGGAACGGGATGAACAAGCACCAGATTCTCTTCAGGATACATTGTATTGGTGTATCGTGGCTCGCACCCAGGTGGAAAGCTCTGATTACAGGACCACAGCTTGTTTTCAATGCTGAACATTCCTGCTTGCGACTTATGGTACGGTGACTGCTTTGGACATACCCCAGGATCAAGCAGAACCTCAAGGCGAACTGTCGTCCGGGGTCCAGCTTCTTTGATGGCCCCCTTCCCGGAGCGGATCCTGGCCTCCTGCACAAGAGAGCAGCAGCCGGGAGCCAGCAGGCACCATTGAAGGCTGATGTCCTCAGGGAGTTTGATCAACGGAAGGCCGAGTTAAGTGCAATTGCGGCACAGGGTTCAGGTGGGGCACCAACATACGAAGTTCAACAATACGATCAACCCTAAACCCCCAGCCCTACACTGCAAACCCAATACTAGGTGCTAGCCGCAACGGCAAATCCACGAGGGCACCCTCGCGAGCTTCCTCACAACGACGACCAGGCTCGGTGGCAGGCTCTACCGCGACTACTGTCAAGGGAAGTTTGATCAACGAGATCTTTGCTTGTCCCAAAGACAAGCATGCCAAGTGGTGTTTCCAGTTTGCATTATGTATAGGATTCTCTCGCATCGTCGTCGTCGTCGTTCCACTGTTGTGATTCAAGGCAAGGAAATCAAGAAGAACTTGGGCAGCATCAACGACATGCTGTTCGACATGGGTGAGCCTACTGGTGAGGATTCTGTGAGATATCAAAAGGACCTCAAGGCGCACGAGAAGAAGATCAAAAACCTTGCGAAGAAGCCACCAATCTAAACTCAATATGTGGCCCAATCTTCTTCATCCTTCACAATCTCATATCATGAACCGAGGTTCCATTCCCTGGACCCTACCACCGACGTGGAGCAGATGGACAAGCTGTGCGAAGATGTTCACGATGAAGCTGCCTGGGATAATGTTGTCTTTAGTTATTCACGGGGCATCGGGGGCTTTAGGGCTGTGTCTGGTTGTTGTCTGCTTGGGAGCCGAGGTTCAGAAGCTTGGTTTGACCAAGGCACAGGCCAAAGGCCTGATGAAGGAGCTGAGTAAGATGGCTTCGAGCTGATAGAGTTTTCTGGTGATTGCTGGTGCATTTCAAGAAGGTTACAACTCTTGTACTTCCCGAAACCCTCCTACTGCCTCTGCCGTTTCAACAAGTTTACATTGATGATGCACCGGTGACGGCTGTGCTCTCTTACTTAAGGGACCGCATCGCTTCGAGTTGCAACACTAGTTGGTGTGCGGGCCGTGCTGGCACAGCTAGATAGCACTGAAGTTTGCAGCTTTCGGCTGGATGTTGAGCAGGAATTAAAGTTTATGTCTAAGGCTTCAATGTCTCAATCCTTATGGTCTTGGGTTTGTGGCTGCACGGCTTGCAAAATTTGGGATCCTCCTGCTAGGGGCTACATGTGGAGACCCATAGGGCAGGGGGCTGCGGGGCTTCGGGTGCCATGCACCAAAAGGGTGCCTGGCGCTTTTGTGTGTGGTCCAGCCACGCACATGTGTTCCACTACCGGGGAAGCTCAGAAGCCGCTAGAAAAAGTGTGCCCGAGCAAGTGAAAGCGCACTGCAGCAGCTAAAGATCATGCATGTCATTAAATTACCAGTGCAATTATTGTTCGCTGCAGGTGCCACTCGATCCCATTCAGCAGCCCTGGCATCCAAGCTGGACGACAAGCCACTTGTATTTATAATAGTCGTTTGCTTGCCACCAAAGACACCCAGCCCAAAGCAGCCCGCATCGAGCCTGAGTTCAATTTAGGCTTGTGCGAGCTACGTGCACTGGTGATTCGACGATCACTTTGGCATGTGACTTGGGTATCTAGGCAGCATGTATCATCCGGAACGACAAGGAAGCATATGTGCATGAGTGACTCCCAATCTGTTTATGAGAGTGCCTTGTCATGACAGACAATCGAGTGAATCCTACCACAATTCCTCTCCCCGATGACTGCTTGCGAAGGCGATGCATACTCGAGTCAACTCCTGGATGGTTTTGCAAGCCGACCACTTCGTGAAGCGGAGTTCCATTCGAGGGTGCGCAGTGCTGGCTTGTCGCTGCACGCAGATGTGAGTTGGATCTCGGCTCCTATTCTGGACGATGACCAATATGAGAGTATTGCAGCCATTCCTGTTTTGATGCCGTCTCAGCTAGCTCCCTGCTTGAAACTAATTTTGTAAGCTGTCGGGCCTATCTATCTGTATGTATATATATATATACACATATAGCACCTATTTCATACTCATATAAGAATACATAGATCTCTAGGTTTTCGGGATTACACAATAATCATCTCTGATCAGGCCAAATCTTTGCTAGAAGCTGGCTTCTTATCGACTATGATACCAGAGACAGCTGCCGACCTCGAAATGTATTGGAGCCGCACCCTGGAACACCTGGAAGACCATCCTTTGCAATCGCAACCCGGCAAATGGAAGTGCTCAATCCCTATCTGCATATGGGGTGATGAGGGAACCCTGAATCGCAGCTCCTAGATGCTGGCCAGCTGGACATACGGTGGGCTTAAGTTCTATATATAGGCTATGTCAGGGACCCAAATATCTAGAGTCATCAATATTTTCATTCGGAAGCACCCTGACCAGGACACCCGACTTATCCAAGTGTCGTACTGGTTCAAAAGCTTCCCGGTACATCATGTACTCGCTGCCTGTGAAGTCTTATATGATGCACGAGAAAACGAATGTCTCGCTACAGGCATTAAACAAAGCCATTGTAGATGACCTGAAGCTGCTCAGCACTCGTGGTGTTTCTCTGGGCTCCGAGGTTCCTCTTATGCACAAATTTAAAGACCCATTTAGCTTTTCATAGGTCTATTTTCGTTTTGACATACTAGAATGCAAGATCGAAAGGCTGTATCCAACAGCTATGCAAGGTCTATTACTTCCACGTCGTGGGCTTTAGAGGCGATCTCAAGCAGATGGCCCAAGCTTTCAACTTGAAAAGAAAGCCGGGCAGCGAGAAGGCCGCGGCGACTGTCCGAGCAAGCACGGGGCTCATAGCAAAGCCGATTTAAAGTCAGGATTTATTGGGCCTGCTTGGTTAGGGTGTTGTACTTTGTATATGGGTGAAGGCTCCCATGGGTCGTAGCGGGTTTCTAATTATGATGTTCAGATTTACTTTCTAGCTCTGAGCTGTTTTGCTTTTAGCTGTAGCCGCTAGCTCAGGTTTATGGATTCGTATAAAATACATAAATAAAGAAGTAAATACATAAAAATGTATTTATATATATGATACAAAATAATGTCTGATTACATAGTGAATGGTGTATGATCGACTTCCAGGTTTGCTGGAGGTGCGAGGCATCAATGGGCAGGAAGGACTTCTCAAAGGTTTACACTGATTGCTCTGAGCATGCTGGTTGGCGACCTACAGATTGGAATGCTCGCTTACCGTGGTTTCAGGAACCAAGCTACGCTGCAATGGACGGGTTCTCGCTTCGCATGCTGAGAATTGGTTGGATGCATACATGGCATCTGGGAGTGTGTCGCGACCTGCTGGGGGCTGGGCTCAGGCTTATGGTTTCCAACAAGCAATTTTTCCCTGGCAGCAATATTTCGATACGCTTGAAGCAGCTCTTACGTGCTGTGAAGCAGTTTGCTAAGGCCAATGGCAAGCAAGTTTCCCTAAAAAACCTGACCAAAAATACTTTGAGCTGGGGAAACCAATGCCCTGAGTTTAAGTCCTCTGCCGCTGACAGTGGCGTTTTTTTGCAGTGGATGTCGCAGAAGTTACAAGAGCAATCTCTTGAAGAACCCTGGGCTGGTGTTTCTGGAGTGGCTTTTTGTGCAGACAAATTGTGTGATATCTTGATGGGCTCTGGGGTTTTCCTCACTTCTGCAGAGGAGGCTCAGGCAAGAATCCTCGGCCAACTTTTCATTCGGGGCTACATTGCGCTTGCTGGGGCAGCATTCCGGGCGCACAGGCTTTTATTCAAAGTCAGGCCGAAATTCCACTATCTTTGCCATATGCTGGATGACATGAACCTCAGGAACCCAACATGGGACGCATGCTGGATGGACGAAGATTTCGTCAAATATGGAATCAGGATGTACCGGAAAATGAACCATTCGACTGCGGGGCTCAACATCCTGAAGCGAAATCTCATCATGCTGAAGCACTCGTTGAAGCAGCACGTTCTGTGAAAAGTCGAGCCGCGAATGGGGTTTGTTCAGGGTGTTCCCGGGGTTTGTTCAGGGTGTTCCGGTGCTTTGTTCAAGGTGCTCCGGGGGGTTTTTACTTTCCACTACAAACCCAATCCCTAAAGACCCTTACAGCCTTCAATCTTCCTGCAAACCCCGAACACTTCCTATAAGGCCCTAAAGCCCTAAATTTGTTGGCTCAAATGTGTTTGGCTCAAAACTCTGATGCTCATGATGCATCTCGGCTCAAGCACTTTCGTCTCATACTTTTTATGCTCATGTGGCTCGGCTGACGCCTGCTCGCATGTCTTATGCTCATGCTGCTCTGATATTGAATGCTGCATATGTGTTTAGCAGTCTTGGAACTTGAAAAAACGTCCATGTTACAATGACCCTTATATCCCCAAATGACCCTTAAAGGCCAAATGGCCTTTATATAAGGCCTCATTTTCATGGTAGCAGCCCTTTTAAAGGCCAAGCCGTCCACAAGGAACAAGGGGGCGTGGGGTGAAGCTATATAACATGTCTTAAAAACGGTGCAAGATTTCCTCCATCCACAGTCCCCAGAGCGGGGTCTAGCTTTGGCCGGCTCGTGGCTCTCCTACATGGCTTGCGGATGCTTCCAAGGAGGGCTGCTCTCACTC